ACTGAAAGGCCGAAACGTTGTAATAAATATGGCGACAAAGATGAGGACAATAGTCCGAATAATGTAAATAGTGTACATAATACCTCAACTCAGAAATATAGACAGATACTGAAAGGCCGAAACGTTGTAATAAATATGGCGACAAAGATGAGGGCAACAGTTCGAATAATGTAAATAATGTACATAATACCTCATCTCAGAAATATAGACAGATACTGAAAGGCCGAAACGTTGTAATAAATATGGCGACAAAGATGAGGACAATAGTCCGAATAATGTAAATAGTGTACATAATACCTCATCTCAGAAATATAGACAGATACTGAAAGGCCGAAACGTTGTAATAAATATGGCGACAAAGATGAGGGGCAACAGTTCGAATAATGTAAATAATGTACATAATACCTTATCTCAGAAATATAGACAGATACAGAAAGGCCGAAACGTTGTAATAAATATGGCGACAAAGATGAGGACAATAGTCCGAATAATGTAAATAGTGTACATAATACCTCATCTCAGAAATATAGACAGATACTGAAAGGCCGAAACGTTGTAATAAATATGGCGACAAAGATGAGGGCAACAGTTCGAATAATGTAAATAATGTACATAATACCTTATCTCAGAAATATAGACAGATACAGAAAGGCCGAAACGTTGTAATAAATATGGCGACAAAGATGAGGACAATAGTCCGAATAATGTAAATAGTGTACATAATACCTCATCTCAGAAATATAGACAGATACTGAAAGGCCGAAACGTTGTAATAAATATGGCGACAAAGATGAGGGCAACAGTTCGAATAATGTAAATAATGTACATAATACCTCATCTCCGAAATATAGACAGATACTGAAAGGCCGAAACGTTGTAATAAATATGGCGACAAAGATGAGGACAATCGTCCGAATAATGTAAATAGTGTACATAATACCTCATCTCAGAAATATAGACAGATACTGAAAGGCCGAAACGTTGTAATAAATATGGCGACAAAGATGAGGACAATAGTCCGAATAATGTAAATAGTGTACATAATACCTTATCTCAGAAATATAGACAGATACTGAAAGGCCGAAACGTTGTAATATATATATATGGCGACAAAGATGAGGACAATAGTCCGAATAATGTAAATAATATACATAATACCTTATCTCAGAAATATAGACAGATACTGAAAGGCCGAAACGTTGTAATAAATATGGCGACAAAGATGAGGACAATAGTCCGAATAATGTAAATAGTGTACATAATACCTTATCTCAGAAATATAGACAGATACTGAAAGGCCGAAACGTTGTAATATATATGGCGACAAAGATGAGGACAATAGGAGGGCAACAGTCGAATAATGTAAATAGTGTACATAATAACTTATCTCAGAAATATAGACAGATACTGAAAGGCCGAAACGTTGTAATAAATATGGCGACAAAGATGAGGACAATAGTCCGAATAATGTAAATAGTGTACATAATACCTCATCTCAGAAATATAGACAGATACTGAAAGGCCGAAACGTTGTAATAAATATGGCGACAAAGATGAGGGCAACAGTTCGAATAATGTAAATAATGTACATAATACCTTATCTCAGAAATATAGACAGATACTGAAAGGCCGAAACGTTGTAATAAATATGGCGACAAAGATGAGGACAATAGTCCGAATAATGTAAATAGTGTACATAATACCTCATCTCAGAAATATAGACTGATATGCAGATTTACTTAATAAAGATGCACTGAGGACACAAGAAGACACCGCCTAGTTTACTGACTAAAGAGGACACCATTTTACAGTACGTTAAAATTTCTTTAATAGAATCCAATCGGTTTTTTGATTCTTTGCTTCGCGTTACATAGTCAATCTTTTCTCTTCCTACCATTTGCTTAAATCCTCTATGTTTTTTTTTTCCTTGACCTTTCTTCGCGAACGAAAGTCTCAGAGGAAGGTCATTTACATCTGCTGCATGCTTTGCAGGTTTTTGATTGGTCCAATTCAAAACAGATAAATCTGTCCACAACAGCTGTTGGGGGAAGGTTCAATTCTCGCTTTAGAAAAGCTATGAAGTTGGACTCAATTTTCCAACGAGCTTTATATATAGCTTTATATGATCAGGGCAGACAGAACTCCATCACTTTTGTTGGCAACCAATCTATGAGAAGGAAATCTAAATTCAAAACTATGAAGAAATCAAGTTGATATCACTATCCAATCTTTCCCGTGAACACTCTTAACATTTGTAATTTAAATAAAATGAAGTCGCGGAGAGTCATGATCGTCTACGTCCTCAAGGAATAACATATTTCTTATTTTATGTGCCGTGTCTCATCAAGTTGGTGATCATGGCTCTCCACAACTTCACATCTTTTGTAGCGCTGTTCAATGTTTGTCTCTTTGCTATCCCTCTCATTCAATGTTCGATTTAATTACAGAAGACCGTTAGGTATATTCACTGTTTTACTCTGACAATCTTTCCTTCATTCTTTCCTGTGAGTGTCAAATTCTCCAAACCCTCTTTCCTCATTATATTTCTCAGAAATTTCAACATTCTCTATACTTTTCGTTCCCATTTTCCTTAAAGCCTCTTCTGTTTTCCTATATTCCACACATGGAATTGTCAGCACCCTTCTGTAGAATACCTTATCTGTTACCACAAGTCTCCTCTTTATCTGCGGGGAAATTTGTCTAGTATTCATTACCATATAAGATGGTTGATATTACATAGCAGTGCAACACTCTTAAAGAACAGTGATTTTATATACGAGTTTTTAGGATGCTTTAGGGGATTGTTTTCAATTTGTTTTATTTAAAGCGTGTTCATGTTTAACTATCAACCACCTATGCATAAATTATCCTCTATCTCTCTGTCTGTTTGTCCAAAATGAACATATCTCTAGCAAAATATTATTGTTATCGCAGAAAGATTTTAATGGCTTCCAAATTTATTCGCTCAAATCTCGTTGCACAGAACAAACTTTTCCAAACATTTTATTTTTATTTTTGGCCAGACATATAAGATTGTTTAAGTCCAAAAACTATATTCAGGTTGTTTTTTTCCCTTCTTCTTATCGGAATAAGGTCTGGTTAATTTCGTGCTCTTTTCTTTATTTTTTTTCATTTTTTTTTATTTCTTCTTTCCGAAATACGTTTTAGCTTCCTGCATGATGTATGGCTTTAAAGAAAAAAACTGCAAAGCGCTGACGACAAAATCTAGGCAGCTGGATCAAAAACATTGCCACATTATCTACAGACATTGGGTGTGTCTCCCAGGATATTGAAACGATGCATTTGCCTGAAATTTCAATACTGCATTCGTGCATAATGTGGGCGTCTAAGAGTCAGTTGTGGAGGCGGGGGTCGGAAACCGGGGATATATGCACCCTCTGAAGTATTAATGAGAAAAGGAAATTGGAAAAAATTCGTTCATAAACACACACGTACACAGTCTCTCTCACACACATACTCTCTCTCCATCTCTCTCTTTCCTTCTCGCTCTCTCTCTCTCTCGCTCTCTCTCTCTCGCCCTCATATACACTAACTTTCATGGACCAACCCAACTCCAAAAATATGAATAAATATAATATTTCTAACTGCTTTTTGGTCGATCCTAAAACTTTTCAGCATCTTTCATGTGATTATGCATAATATTCTAACTTTTTCAATTTATCTTATTTATCTCTCTGTATTTCTGAGATGAGATATTGTAACTATTTACATTATTCGGACTGTTTCCTCCATCTTTTTTGTCATATTTACGACATTTCGGCCATTGTACGCTCCGGCCTTCTTCAGCTGATATATATTGCAATTTCGAATAGAACCCTTTATTTAGTTGTTCGAATTCCACGGCTTTTCTTGATATATCAGTTTCATTTAAAAAAAACAAAAAACAAAAAAAAAAAATAAAATAAAATAAAAAAAAACAATCGTTGCACGAATAATATACTACACAGAAAATAAAAACTGAAATTATTGAACAACATCCGACAGATATTTTATCTTAAAAAATATATTCTCACCAATCTCTTTATTAAGATAAGAGGATCAACGTGACAGACTTTTCTTGACGGTCGAGTACAGATTTTGAAAAGTAACAGATAATTCAATTGTATAAAATCACTCCACTCCACTCCATAAAAAAAAAAAAAATTAATTCCCTTTAGTAACTCAAATCTCCAAGATTTTGTTCACCTCTGCTGTGGCCAGGTATTGAACTCACAAATCTTTCGGTCAAGTCACTGGTTTATTTTAACAAAAGCTTTTATCCTTGGTACATCCATCAGTGAATCAATGTTTGGAACTTATAAACATAATATCTCAGTTATCATTTTTTTTACCAGAGCTCATATTACAATTTTTGTTATTGTTGTTTTTCTCTACTGGTTCTCATATTGTATTCATGTCTACGCTTGACCAGGTTAGGAGATTTTTTGTAGCATAACATATGTGCTGATTCTTCAAGTTTTCGTATTTCCCAGTGATGTTCTCTGTCTATTATTTTAAACTCAGGGAGCAGTGATGTCTCTTTTACCTCCATATATGATCAGCCATGCCTGATTTTTTTTATTTCCCCTCGTGTTACGGCTTTATGGTGTTCTTTTATTTATATAAATTCAAATTCTCTCCTTTCTTTCTTTCATTTTGTTGCAAAAATCAAGCAAGTAGTCCAATTTACATATCTGTTAAGTGTTTTAACAGAGGACGGAACGTGCGACAGCGAAATCAGTAGGCGGGAAAGAGACCTTCCAAAACCTAAGCATTGTATTAAGAAACAGGAAAATCTCGTAAGAAACAAAGAAAAGAGTATGTAACTGATATGTATTATTAGTCCACCTATATAGCAGTTAATGCCGGACAATCTCCTCACAGATGAAAAAGAGACTAGACACGGTCATTGTGTCCCACAGAGATTTTTTGTCGACGTTCAACAAGAGTCCTATTTACCAGGCCCAGTTAACAGTGCGACTGAAGCGTGAAAGGCTGATATGCTGTCGTTGTTTTTCGAGCAGACGGCCGAGTTCGTATGTGAAGAAGACTGCATTACATTGTGAATACTATCATATAGAATATATATAAACTAGGCATACCTGTGAAAATTTTACGGTTATCCAATTTGATTTTTTTGATGGGTTCTAATTTTTAAGTTAATGATCGAATGAGATCCTGTTGAGTCAGACGATTAAAAAAATACTCGTAGACATTTTCCTACTGCATCATTAAATATTTGAGCTTTAATAACTTTAATTAATTATTCCGATAACAATTATAAACATGAATGTCATCGTTATTTAAAGAAGAAAATGCATGCCATTGAAAAGAATTTAAATTAACGACGTTGAACACATGGGAGTGTTATTCCCACTTCTATGGCCTTTCTTTCTTTCTTAGCCAGCCTTCAATTGTCTTACCATATGTCAATCTTTCTTCCGCCAATCTTTCTTTCTTTTTTTCTTTCTTTCTTTCTTTCTTTCTTTCTTTCTTAGCCAGCCTTCAATTGTGTAACCATACGTCAATCTTTCTTCCGCCAATCTTTTCTTTCTTTCTTTCTTTCTTTCTTTCTTTCTTTCTTTCTTTCTTAGCCAGCCTTCAATTGTCTTACCATATGTCAATCTTTCTTCCGCCAATCTTTTCTTTCTTTTTTTCTTTCTTTCTTTCTTTTTCTTATCAGCCTTCAATTTCAATTGTGTAACCATATTCAATTCTTTTCTTTTCCGCCAATCTTTTCTTTTCTTTCTTTCTTTCTTTCTTTCTTTCTTTCTTTCTTTCTTTCTTTTTTCTTAGCCAGCCAGCCTTCAATTGTCTTACCATATGTCAATCTTTTCTTTCTTTCTTTCTTTTCTTATTCTTTACCATATGTCAATCTTTCTTTCTTTCTTTCTTTCTTATTCTCGGTATTTACCCAAGATCTCCCCACAAGGCGGGATGTGACACAAGACCGTGTTTTATGAGTAACAATTCCAAGCCCGTAATTGTCCGTTGGTCTTTTATATACGCGATAGTGTAGCAGTCTACCTCCCCAGACGAGACTCTACCCTCGTCTGGGTTGCTCTCCGGTCGGAGGCAGGGAGGTCGACAAACAGATTATTAGCAAACACAGAGGTTTTACTGTCTCCCTTTTCTTTCCTATTCTCACTGATACCATGTAGCGTGTCTGATATGCCTTTTCTGCCTTTCCACGAGATCACAAGGGAATAGGTCATTTCTTAGGAGGTATTGGCAACGCGTAACGTACGTACGTGCTAAGGAACTAAGGGAGGGACAAGAATGATAATCAGATAGTTCTTAAAACATGAACCCACGCACTACATTGTGACGCGCATGAAATCATTGTGTAATATTAGCTGTTCTTCAGCTCAAGGAAGTTGAACGCTATCCGCCATTTTAGGTCGGATCATGTTGCTGTTAACACTAAGCTGCGTGTGTAATTTTGCTTTTGGTTTAGATTTTTCCCTTGTCTCCAAAATGTAAATCTGATACAAGTGCTGTTGATGCCTCAAAGAAAAGGAAAGCAGTCACAATTGAAAGTAATAATGATATAATACAACTATCAAAACGAGGTGAAATGTTATCGGTACAACAAGTGTAGATGATAAAGTGGGAATAGTAGCTCATATAAATGGCTCTACCCTGATGAAAGCTATAATTATTGTTAAACAAATGCGCTGAATTGATGACAAGAATTAAACTGCTGTGGATAATTCGGTTAAACAATTAAAACCATCTTAATAAGAATTAGTTGTAAAAATTAGCGCAACAAATTATGCAGCTCTAATTCCTATCAATAACGTTACTTAAAACGATTACTAAGCTACTTATTCCATAATTTATCTGAAACTGTAAATTGAATAATGCGTTACCTCAAGAGATTCTGTCGTAACGAATTATCTAGAACAAGGAAATGAATTAAATTTTCTAGCGTCTAGGTTCCAAGAGACAGGAGATGATTGTCATTGCATTTAAACTTCTGAAGGTCATAGCTGATAGGAAAGCAAAAACCTAGAAGATAGTTCCATAAGTGAAAAGTGCAAGAAAAGAAACTGCTAGCATAGAACTTACGGTTGTGCCTAGCCATTTCAACTTTGAGAAACAATGGAAAATATCAGAGAAATCTGAAGGTGTATAGGAATAATGAAAGATGTCGTCCAGAAAACAAAGTATAGGAAAATGTCCCAAGCAACTAAGAGAAGAGTGCTGAAATGTTGTATAATATCTAATCTCCTCTATTGCAATGAATGCTAGACAATTTTCTTGCAGATGAAGAGTTTAAGTGATAGATGTAGTTTTACCAGTGAATTGTAAGAATATCATGGACAGAACATGTGAACAACTTAATAAAACAAGAACTATAAAGAAACTGATAGCTTCAATCAGAAAAGTTGAAATTTTGGGATACACATTGAGGAAAGAGGGTCTAGAGAGTTTAACAATTACAGAACATATTAAAGACAAGAGCAGCAGGTAGAAACAATGAGTAATTGTTTTTTAAATAAATTTGTGAATGGATGGCAGAACAAGGACAAAGGAGGATAGCAAAGGATGAAATTCTAGAATAACAAAAGACAGGAAGTTTGGGAGAGCCATGATTGTCCATATCCTGAATGGACATGACATAAAAGAAAAACTTAATTGTCAAGGATAATCTATGGTAAGTACACTTTGGTTTAATTTCCAAGTTAGCATGACCACTACAGAAGAATTTTTTTTTAAATCACTTCACTTCAAGCAAGGCAAAAAAACCACTACGATGCAAAGGGTTACTGTGTTTGAAAGAATCTGAGAAAAATCATTAATAAGGAGAAAGGATATTAAAAAAAAAAAAAACAGGATTCCAAGAGACAGGAGATGATTGTCATTGCATTTAAGGTCATAGCTGACAGGAAAGCAAAGGCCAGAAGAGTTCCATAAGTGAGAAATGCAAAAGAATAAACTCTTGTAATTTATGGTTACATCTAGCCATTTCAACTGTGATATGATTAGATCTGCTGCTAATCTATTACTGTGTTTAAATTCATAAAGTTGAGGTACCAAAGAGGAAAGCAATCAAATTTCCTGGCAGCAGACCTAGCAATTGATTCAATATAATTGTTCAGCTTCATGTCAGTAGGAAACATTAGCCCAAGAAGGTGCATCATCATCATGAAATTAGGAATTAGAATGGAGCATTTAGTCAGTAGGTATTTGAAAAATGCAACAAATTCTGCAGCACTTTTTTGTTTAGCCATGTTACTTAGAACAATTACTTTGCTACTTATTTCATAATTTATCTAAAACAATTGATGAGTGCATTACTTAAATGAGTTTTTCAAACCTTATAAAAATAGGTTGAAGACATAAAATCAAACGCCCAAAACTTGAAATGATACAATTTTTTTATTATTTCTTATGAATTCAAATAAGTGCACCAACATTTCAGCACTGCAGGCGTTTTATATGTTTTTCTTTTTATAACGACCATTAAAATGCCATGATTTTTGCAACCCACATGCACATTTGTTTTTTTGTTGTTTTTTTTTTGTTTTGTTTTTTTGGTGAATGTTCATCTGATGATAAAGATAACATTGAATAATTTATTTCAGAAGAATTTTCTACCATTTTTTCTCCAATGAGAATGAACAATGTGAAATATTTTTTATTAAATATTCAATTTATAAAAGGTTACAGAAATGTAAAAAGTCTTTCTTGGCAATAATCTAAGTGACAAATCAGCATAAAAAGGTACTGTTGACTATTTACAGCTAATTTGTTTAAATATTGCATTGGCTATTGTTTGCATCATGTGGCAATAACTGTAAGTAAAATGATACACTAAAATAAGTAATCAAGTAATCGTTTTAAGTTCTCTCTGTACATCTATGCCTTTGAAAAATTGTTGGAAATACCTACCCCTTTAACAAATGTAGCATTATATATCTCAACAAAGTAAAGGTTACCATCAAAATCATTTGTTGGAGAGTAGAAAGTAAGTAAAGCCTGTAAATATTAAATGGCTCCAGGGTACCAGTTGTGAAAAGTACACAAACATCTGTAATAAGTGACAAAATCTTCATCTTCGGACTTTACTAAGTTAAGACATTGCCATCGGATATTAAATAATGAGCTCCTATAACTAAAATTTTTTATAGTATGAGAACAGTCTCATCAAAATTTATTTCACCTGTTTTTTTTTAGGGGGGTGGGTGTCGGCAAAATATAATTTATATATTTTCATGTTCAACAGGAGACAATTTCCTTAATAATAAAAGAACTTTCTTTTCATGATTCCGATGCGAACAATCCCTTCGCATCTTCTATAATGAGCTGGATTGTACACAAATTCGGTGATTGAATTAGCAACAGCATCTGGAGTGAATGAATCAGAAGGTTTTCCTTCAATCGTTTTGGTAAACAACTTAAAAAAACTTCTGTTGTTGCAATTTCTGCTCATGTTGTTTTTTGTTTGCTGCAATTGTTGTTCTTGTTGTAGTTTTTGTTGCTGCAACTGTTGTTCTTTTTGCTTTTCTAGCGCCAAAAATTGAATCATGATAGCTATTAGTTCTTCCATTCCGCTGTACTCTGCTGATTTTTTCCTCATGTAAATTGAAGGAATCCTCGTGTAAGTTCAAGGAATCTTTCCGAATCATTGTCACCACTTTTATGATGCCAACGAACACTTATTGCCACTTTTTAAATGTTAACGAATACTCGTTGTCACCTTCGTAATTCTCGTTGCAGTAGAAACTTTTTAATCACTGATACAACTATAGTAACGCCGTTGAAAAATACTGGGTCAGACGCCTTCGAATAACACTAGTACTAATAGTATATGCTTGATAATACTCGCTCGAAAAGTAATCACCGAATAGTAATTCTTATAGTAATCTGTATAGTGATCAGTATAGATAAATAGTATAGTGAATAGTATACTGAATAGCAAACAGTTTAGTAATAGAGGATAGATGACGAATAGTGATGCGTATAGTAATAAAGTAAAGAGGATAGACTAGAAATAGCGATCAGTCAGACTCCACGCTAATTTCCATATATACATTTCCTTTGCAAACACGTGTTCTACTTATTAGAAATGTAATCACCTGTGTTTGCACTCTGGGAATCTGTGTTCAAACTCCAGTGTCGATAGCGACACTTTATTCCTATATAACAAGTGCACAGATGAATGTATAGCCGAGTCTTAGTTATATGAATAATAAATTGAATTTTATTTACTATATATATATATATATATATATATGGATTATTGTCTTTACTTCCGTTGTTGTTATCCCAAGGTTTCGGTCATTGTATTCCCTAGGCTTCCTAATGTGTATATCGATCTGTGTAACGTGGAGTGTATTCTGAACGGAAGCCTTTATTTAATCTACAGGTATAAATCGTTCTCATACTACTGCTCATGTCTAGGGATATCGTCTGTTTCTGATTTTTATTTAGTTTTGCTCAGTTATTGCTCGACCGTTGCCACTGAGTGTAATTAAGCACTGAACTGAATTTTACTTATTCTTGTCTGGCACTGCGCCTCTTTCTTGCGTTCTATTGTAAATATTTCAAGCGTTTGACTCACACAAGATACATAAATAATTTTGTTCTGTTTTCTTCATTGTTTTAGTTATTTTTTTTTAATTGTCTTATATTGCTCTATTCCTTACGCATAAACGTTTCCGCGGAAAAGGGTTGAAACTTTTGTAGGACATCATAAACATTTTCTCGACACTGTCAAATGGAGAAAAATGTTATGGTTTGGACACATTACAAGGCAGAGAAGCCTGTGCAAGACCATCATGCAAGGCACCGTTGAGGGTGGACGTATGAGAGGACGCTAATGGTGAAACTGGTTGAACAATGTCAAACAATGGACAGGTATGACTGTACCAGAATTGCTGATGGCTGCCGTTGATAGACCGTTGTAGAAAATAGCGTGGTTTCTGCATTCGGATCCGCAATCCGATTAGAAAAGTCAAGGGGATGATTATTATTATTATTATTATTAGGATGATGATGATGATGACGAGGATGATGATGATGACTTTATTCCTTTACTCTTCGTTCCTCTATGGTATATGCGTCGAGAGGCTGTGCGTCAAGTTTTAACACCCACCGACAACGTTTAGTTTGGTGCATTGCCCTTTCCAGGACCCTTTTATCTGTTACGAGTAAATTTACCAGTTCCTCTAATTGCGTCTCTCCTTACTCCCAGAAACACTAGGTCTGATAAGTCAATGTGTTTATCAGTGGTCTGTTTGTATTTATGAAAGGAAATGTATGTTGCTACTCGCTCCTATGATCTATGGCACCATCAGGCTGCTTTTACTAAACTTGGGCTTGGTCGCATGTCAGCGGTAACTTGGAAATGCCCGTCTATTCTCCAAGTATCAAGTAGTCACGGTCTCACCATACACTTACATTGTAGTAAGCCCCACCCACATTCCCTCAATATTCCATCACTGAGAAGCAAGTTCTACTCGAACATCCCCTTCCTGTGGAACATACTCCCAAGAGGATGCTTCCCTGATTACTACAGTATTAACCTGCCCAAGTGTAGAATTAACCGTTATCTTCCCCGCTTATCCATATAACATATTAACGTAACCCTCTACATCGAGTGGCCCCAGGCCTTGCACTGGGTAAATCCTACTGTAAAAAAAAGAAAATACTTGACTCTTTCTCTCTCTCTCTCTCTCTCTCTCTCTATATATATATATATATATATATATATATATATATATATATATATATATTACTCTCCTTCTTCCACGTTACTTCAAGACGTTGGTGTTCATGTGACTCCACAGCTTCCTCTCTTTTATTGCTCTAAGTAATACTTATTAACTTATAGCCTATCCATATAACATAATAACGTAACCCTCTACATCGAGTGGCCCCAGACCTTGCACAGTGTGGATACTACGTTAAAAAAAAGAAAATTAAAAATACTTGGAGTCTTTCTCTCTCTCTCTCTCTCTCTCTCTCTCTCTCTCTCTCTCTATATATATATATATATATATATATATATATATATATATAAATTACTTTCCTTCTTTCAAGTTACTTCAAGACGTTGGTGTTCATATCTCTTCACAGCTTCCTCTCTTTTATTGCTCTAAGTAATACTTACTAATTTATAGCCTTTTTATGTCTTTGCAGTACCTGTTCCACCATCCGTTCCCGTACGAGATCCGAAGTTAAGGATCGTCGAGCCCAATCAGCACCTAGATGAGTGACCGCCTGGAAATAACAAGCACTGTAAGCTTGAATGTGTGCGTTGTGTAATGGATAATGGCTCAAAGCCGAGTTCCAATTCCAGTTGGGTTCGTTATATTCACTTACACTCTTGGGAAAGTTATGTAAACTGCACTCGTCACCCAGCTATTAGTTAATTAGTGAGCCTTGCATCGATAAACCATTATTATCTAAAAGAATTCTAACAATCTAAAAATATTTTCTGGTTTTGAATAACTTGCAAAGGGTTGATAAATCGTAAAAAATGAAACTAACAATCAATCATGTCCCGTTTATTCAAACATGTCAAGCGGATTTATTAGTATTTTCCACAGTTTCTATTTTTGCTTTCAATGTTTCTTTTAATACTTTCACCCCAAGGCGATATGGCCACTAAGACGCAATGGGCTACTGAGGGTGAGAGAATATGAGAAATTTAGAAGAGAGAATAGTAAAAGAACAGGAAAATAACGACTGACATTCTATTTGCATTTTAAAAAATCCAAATTGACTGGAAAGCAAGATCCTGGAAGAGAGTTTCACCAGCTAGAAAAGCGAAAAAAGAAACTGTTAGCATAGAACCTCCGGTTGCATCCAGCCAAATTCAACTGTAAAATGATGAGACGTTTTTGCCAATCTCGTACTGCGCTTAAATTCATAAAGTCTATGACTAATAAACAACAGTATCGTTTTGGAGGGGTTAAAGTTCACAAGTCATTTGTTGCCCCAATTTCTGAGTATGCCCGTCTTCTAGGGTAACGAACAGATGCCTGATCAGGGACATATGTGATTATTGAACAGATAAGTTCATCTAAGATAATCCTTTTTTGCCCTTCATCAGAAAACGCCGATGCCAACCTGGACATTAGTCCATTCTACCTTCATTTTCCACTGGCAGAAAGTTGAACAATTATAATGAATAAAATTGCAAGATCCATTGTTAAGAATATTGGTTCCCGGTGTCGTTCCAGACGATTTTCTTGCCATATTCCATCTTGTACGTTTGTAGATCTACTATCCGCCCTGGTACTCAATATCACTGACACCCTCTCGGCTGGGGCTTCAGAATATGCCAATTGCATCCCTGCAGAGGGTTGTGACATCCCCCACTCCGCAATGAGGCGGCTTAAGTATGATGATAAACTACATCAGTGTCCTGGGTATAACGATACAACCGGCAGCAAGGCCTCCGATCAGGAGGTTTTGAGGAGCGTAGAACCGCCTCTTGATTGCTGATGTTCCCGAATCCATCCTGGCCCGGAGTGGTGGCACCTGTTGGGGTCCTAGCTAGGGGCAAATAGATAACCCCCAAACTGGGGTGAAAACACTATGAAAGTGTAAAAATAGGTTTTAATACCAGCAATAAATTTTTGGAAAAAAATATTACCGGCAATACATGTTTGGAAAAAAAAAATTGCCAGCAATACATTTTTGAAAAAAATATATTACCAGCAATAAAAATCTTGTTAGCACTAAATATTCCACTGCGGTTGATATGCCGTAAAACAAACCAAATCAAACCAACATCACTACAGCACATAGTCTAATGCACTTGCTATATATTTCAAGCTTCTGGACAAAAGTTTCAAAGAGGAATATGCAATATTATCGGTTCTGACCTGGCATCTCGGCTTCATTCACTTTCCCATCATTATAACATCGATTCGCTATGACTTTTCCATTAATATTTACCTTGGAAATTATTCTGATGAGTTTTCCTCTTTGTTACCTCAACGTCATGGATTTAAGCGCAGTACTAGACTGGCAGTTAGGTCTCATTATTTTACTGTCGAAATAGTAAGCTTATGTTTTATTCTAATTCTTTCTGTTCCTTCTTGTCATATACGATCTTCAAAATTTTAAATGTAACGTCGTCTTCTGTCTTTTTGAATCGTGTTTTTATTTTATTTTATTGTTGTTTCTCCTCACGAACGCTTTCTCATTTCCTTCGTCACGTCTTGCATCTCAGCGGCTTTACCACCTTGCTTGGGGTGAAATGATCGAAGAAATATCTATGTTTACCTTAAACAGCAACAGTTTTCGTCGTTTTCGTATCGCGCCAGAAATTTTTTCTCGTCTGTCCAACCTTCGAATCTATGAATCAACAATTCGCCCTTGAATTGAATATTGCTGTCATATATGGTCTGGAGACTCCTGTGTTTGTATTAAGGCCCTCGAAAAAAATCCAGAGACGCGTATGCAATGTGGTTGGCCCTGATCTGGCATCTCGTCTACAGTCGCTCTCTCACAGACCTGCCGTCGCCTCCCTTTGACTTTTCTACAAATACTTTCACGGTAACTGCTCCGACGAGCTACTTTCGCTAGTTCCCAAACTGTATGAAATTTAAGCGTGCTACTAGGCTAGCATCTCGATTCCACCCTTTCACTATCGAATTGGTTAAATGTAGACGTCGCTTCTATCCCAATAGCTTCATGTCTTGCACTTCCCGTCTGTGGAACTCCCTCCCTCTTACTTGCCTCTCTGATAGCTATAATCTTCAAATATCCAAATGCAATGTCAATCGACATCTCCAGATGCCTTGATCTAATTTCCCGTCCTTCTCTTCATCCTTTCCTCTATCACGCCTCTTTACTCTTGCTCCCATTCTCTGTAACCCCTTGCGTGCTAGTGGCACCCTTGCCTTGCTTGGGGTGAAAAGCTTAAAAAAACTTTCCAGTACGCCACAAGCCTGATCCATATCAGAGAAGATGGATATATTATTGCAAAGTAGTTTCAATGAAACATTTGAACACAAGAGTTTTGCTGATTGGACTAACGTTGAATAAGTGAAACCGAAGATGACACTGTTTCGGATGGTTAGGTCCAACTGTATCTGGCTGGCTGACTTGCTCACAAATTAACTATCATATGTGTGAGATGAGATACCGTATGATCGTGACCTTCTTTAACGGTATCAAAAAACTCTTAACCAGCAAATGTCACGTTTATCTCTACAGTACGCCCCAGCGCGTGTCATGACCCGTTAATATCACAGGAGATTGAGATTTTTCATATAATCTTAACGACTTCTCGCCTCTACAAATGCATTACTGTGTTTAAAATTGTTTGTTTCAGTCTTCGGTTACATTCTTCCAATGTATAACGTCATTGTATGTTGTTTACTGTTTTTTTTTTTATTCAGCAAAGAGAGACCCGAAAACTTATTTAGTCATATCCGTGTTTATTTTCTTTTCTTTGCTTTTTTTTTGTTTTGTTTTTTGAGATCAGATTGAGATAGATAGATAGATATGAACAGACTGAGATAGATAGATAGATAGATAGATAGATAGATAGATAGATAGATAGATAGATAGATAGATATGAACAGATTGATATAGATATTTATGAACAGATAGATAGATAGATAGATAGATAGATATAAACAGAATACAATCGATAGAAATTAAGAGAATACAACAAATAGATAGATAGATAGATAGATAGATACAAAGAGAATGAGATAGATAGATAGATAGATAGATAGATAGATAGATAGATAGATATGAACAGATTGAAATAGATATTTATGAACAGATAGATAGATAGATAGATAGATAGATAGATAACAGAATAGATAGATAGATATAAACAGAATACAATAGATAGAAATTAAGAGAATACAACAAATAGATAGATAGATAGATAGATAGATAGATAGATAGATAATGAGATAGATAGATAGATAGATAGATAGATAGATATGAACAGACTGAGATAGATATGAACAGACTGAGATAGATAGATAGATAGATAGATAGATAGATAGATAGATAGATAGATATGAACAGACTGAGATATCTATGAACAAATAGACTGATAGATAGATATGAACAGAATACTATAGATAAAAATTAAGAGAATACAACAGATAGATAGATAGATAGATAGATAGATAGATAGATAGATAGATATGAACAGATTGAAATAGATAAGTATGAACAGATAGACATAGATAAATAGATAGAGAGTGGGGAAGATACCTGGCAACGTGGTGAATAAAGACCTGGTCGGAAGAGGCAGAGGGAGTTAATTGTTCACATGTAGAATGATTCCACGAACGAATTATTAAGATTTGAGGTAAGTCTGGGAAAAGGCTCTGGGAAGCACTTCATCATTTATTTGTAAGTTCTATCCAGAAATTTCCAGGTTCTGTAACGCTAGTAAAATGGGGGGAGGACATTGAAACAAGACAAGTTCGCTAAAGGTACTTGTTAACGGCCAGACGTCTGAGACGCAAGCGATCAACGCAGATATCGTCCAACGGTCGCCTCTCGGGCAAACACTCTGTCTACTTTACCTAATCTGCCTAAGAGTGGACTCCGATCATTTGTGAATATCTCACACTGAGGATACAACTACATATGGGTGCCCCTTCAAAATTGTAGATGACAAGCGCGTGGCAAAGGATCTCTACTGTCACCAAGCTTTAAAAGCTCAGTTGTGGAGAAAGAGGCTGCCCACATTCAATGTCACGAAAACGTTACATCATCACCGAAGGGACCCTAAATGTTCAACTATTTTTTTAAAGCGTTTCACCCCAAGCAAGGCGGGAAGCCACTAGGGCGCAAGCGGTTACAGATGATTTGGAGCAAGATCAGATATGAGTGATAGAAGAAAGGATGAGGAGAAGGATAGTGGATAGATCAAGGCAACTGGAGATGTCGATTGACATTACATTTGAATAGTTGGAGATTATAGCTCTCAGGGAAACTGGAATAGGGGAGGGAGTTTCACAGGTGAGAGGTGCAAGATATGAAGCTATTGGAGTAGAAGAGACGGCTAAATTTAATAGTTTCGACGGTGAAAGGGGATGCCAGCCTCGTAGGATGCTTAAATTCATGATGTCTGGGAACCAGCGAATGCAGCTCCTCGGAGAAATTGCCATGAAAGTATTTGTAAAAAAGACAGAGAGAGGAGACGGCGCGTCTGTGAGAGAGTGACTGTAGACGAGATGCCAGATCAGGGCCAATTATATTACATATCCGCCTCTGGATTTTATCAAGAACCCCGAGGCAAACAGAAGGGGCTCCAGACCATATATGGCAGCAATACTCCATGCAAGTGCGAATTGTTGATTTGTAGATCTGAAGTATCGATTACGGGGAGAAAAATTTCCTGGCGCGGCACAGGGAGCCAACTTTTCTTGCGGTGGACGAAGCAATTGCAATGGACGGGTGATCTTTTAGGGAGGTTCAGTACTTTAAGCTCCTGTTGGGGCTTAGATTCAACCCAAACCTCAGGTGGATTTCGTACATACGATCCATCGCTTAAGATACTGGAAAAAGGGTCGTTTTCTTGTACTGCTTCAGTAAGTACCTGACTTCACTTGCTACCCTCTACCTTTTCCAATAATTTTATAGTCTGATACCATATATGTGCAGGTGTTGTCCAGACTTCACTTTTTAATTACGATAGAGTCAAAAAGCGTCTCTGCGTCCTTGTGGGTAATTAATTGTTTCTCATCCTACAACTCTTTTCTCACATACGAAACGTTAAGAGTCAATTGCTGCTGTATCACTATTTCAATGGAAAGTTCCACCAGTACTAACCTCCATTTTTAAGACACGCCATGGCACGCACATTGTAGCGTACGACACTCATTACGTTCGCATTTCACTGGTTACATGTAAGTTTCAATCGAGCATCTTCTTCAACAAACTGCTGCTTGGTGGAACCAACCATTAAAAGAACGCTTCCCCGATTACTGCAATCTTAACTTGTTCAAGTCAAGGGTTAATCGTTCTCTTCCCCACATGAACGCAGAAACCGTGCCTCTTATTGTGTAACCCTCTACCTGCTTTGTGGTATCGACTCCCAAGAGGATGGTTACTCGATCATTACAATCTTAACCTGTTCAAGTCTAGGGTTAATCGTTATCTTCCCCACATAAACGCAGAAACCGTGCCTCTTACTGTGTAACCCTCTACCTGCTTTGTGGTATCGACTCCCAAGAGGATGCTTACCCGATCATTACAATCTTAACCTGTTCAAGTCTAGGGTTAATCGTTCTCTTCCCCACATGAACGCAGAAACCGTGCCTCTTATTGTGTAACCCTCTACCTGCTTTGTGGTATCGACTCCCAAGTGGATGCTTACCCGATCATTACAATCTTAACCTGTTCAAGTCTAGGGTTAATCGTTATCTTCCCCACATAAACGCAGAAACCGTGCCTCTTACTGTGTAACCCTACCTGCTTTGGGTATCGACTCCCAAGAGGATGCTTACCCGATCATTACAATCTTAACCTGTTCAAGTCTAGGGTTAATCGTTATCTTCTCCACATAAACGCAGAAACCGTGCCTCTTACTGTGTAACCCTCTACCTGCTTTGTGGTATCGACTCCCAAGAGGATGCTTACCCGATCATTACAATCTTAACCTGTTCAAGTCTAGGGTTAATCGTTATCTTCCCCACATATCCCCATAAACATTGCATCTTAATCTGTTACCTTCTAACTGAAGTAGTCTTCTGCCTTGTACAGGGTGAATATAATTGTAAAAAGAAAAGAGACTCGTGCTTGGCTTAAATGTTAACGAGCAATCTGGTCAACAATTTACCCTATTTATCATCATACAAATATTGCTTGGTTTCGTCTGTAAAGCACTCGTGACCAACGAAAATGGCTTCTTTTTTAATTTGATAGCATATCTATAGTGGCATTAACTAGAGTCTATTTCTATAGTATATTTTAATGCATTTCTATAGTAAAAATATTGACACTCCATTTATATACTACGTATAATATAGCTTTTCTCTCATCAATTCCTGACAACTAGCAGGCCTTTTTTTGCATTTTTATATGAAAATATTTTAGAGCGTATTTCTATAGTATAAACATTTTCAATTCATTTCTATGGTAAAAATATTAACAATCAATTTACATACTAAACATAATATACCTTTCTTACAAGGAATACAGACATCAGTTCCTGACTACTGACAATCCATTTCTTTCCGACTTGCAATGCTTTTTTAAAATCCTATCACCCTAGGAAGGCTACAAAGACACTAACACGGATGGTGGGGGTCTGAGTGTGAAAAAAACATAATTAAAAATCGATATCAATAAAAGAAAAGAAATTACGAAGATGGAAGGAAATGTTTGATATTGCATTTAAAATTTGAAGATCAAACTTGACTGAAAATCAAGAAAGAAGAAGAGGGGTTTACAAACGAGAAATACGAGGAAAGAAACACCATAGAACTTACGGTTACATCTAGATATTTCAACTACAAAATGAGATTTTGCTGGTTATTTATTACTGCTTTTAAATTTAAAGTCTCTAAGTACCATAGGGGAGAGTTTATCAGTAGTAAAACCACTAAAATAAGTCGCTCACCTCCTACAACAGTTCGCTAATATGAGACAGAGATAAACCTAAGACTGCAAGGGAAGGTTAAAAACTTATCAGAAAGAATTTTATGATGTGACTCCAAAACTAATATGATTGTTTTCTGTAGATAATTCTGATTATGATTTCTTTTAGGTCTCATTGAATCGTAAGTGTTTATGACTCTGCACATCTTCCTTTTTTTCCTTTAATATAGTGTAATTTTTTTTAATCGCTGGTATGTTATTATTTCTGTTTAGCTGTTTTTATTGACACATCTATTTTAACCCCGTATATACGTTTTAACCGAAATGATCTTTTTCAGACATGGACGAATAAACATATCCAAAACATAACGTTCAAAATCCATCGAGAGACGTGTTTATACGTAGATCATAAAACTTTTCCTCCTTAGAATCTCGAACGCATAGATTTATACGTTCATTAGTAACTAAGACTTTTACTCTTAAAATGTAACCGCTGGTTCTATTCTAATAGTTTCTTTTCCCGCCAGTGAAACTCTCTTCCTGTTTATTGCTTCTCTGCCACGAACAATCTTTAAAATTGAAATTCAACGCCAATCACCATCTTCTGTCTTCTATTCCCAGTAACCCCTTGTGTCTTCGTGACATTATCGCCTTTTATGACATAAGGAATTGATATACCGTAAAAGAAAACAAAACCAAAACAAACGATGCTAATAGGTGAAAGAGAAACATGTTTGAATATATATTTGGTAATATATAAAGTCTTGTTTTAAAGTAGCTATTGTCAGAATGAGAAAACTGAAATTCACAATTACTGCATATCCTCTGCATACAAAACCGATTTGACATGATCAGGTTGTTTCCGAAATTGAAAGTAATATTGAAAGCTTGATGCTTATATATTCTGCCAAACTGGAAGATGGTGAAGGCAAATAGATCAGATTGAGATAGATAGATAGATAGATAGATAGATAGATAGATAGATAGATCGATAGATAGATAGATAGATAGATAGATAGATAGATATGAACATATTGAAATAGATATCTATGAACAAATATACAGATAGATAGATATGAACAGAATACAATAGATAGACATTAAGAGAATACAACAGATAGATAGATAGATAGATAGATAGATAGATAGATAGATAGATAGATAGATAGATAAGTATGAACAGACGGAGATAGATAAATAGATAGAGAGAAAGGGAGGGAGATAAAGACCAGGTCGGGAGAGGCAGAGGGAATTAATCGTTCACACGTAGAATGATTCAACGAACGAATTATTAATTTTTTTGAATTAAAAATAGTTTTAGAGTAGGGCTCAGCGTACTTGCTGATCTTCCCTATAACTGCAGCAATGGACTTGCTCCTACTAATAAATATGGCGACTGGTGACATTAGAGTAAGATTTTAGTAGTATTCGATTTACTCATGTTTTCCCGTTTTATGTTTTTTGTTTTGTTTTATTAATCATTTCACCCCAAGCAAGAAGAGAATGCCACTTGTACGCTGAAAATTAGAGGGAGAAAGTGAGAGAAAAGACTGGGTATAAGGGAGAAGGTGAGGAAAGGACAAATGGTGAACGGGATTCAAAAAGATAGAAGATGGCGATTGACGTTGCATTTAAATTTTTGAAAGTTATCAGGGATGCAAGTAAGCGGAAGGGTGTTGCATTGTAGGGAAGTGTGAGAAAAGAAACTGATCGGGTAAAAGTGGCGGTTACATTTAACGATTTCAACAGTAAATGTGTTTAATAAACCCCCCTCTTCTTTGTTTTCCCTACCTTGTTTTCTGTTACCTTGATACTCTCTCTCTCTCTCTCTCTCTCTCTCTCTCTCTCTCTCTCTTTCTAACAACGGCCTTCCTAATTCTCGGCTATTTTTGTTTGGTTTGTTTTGTTTTACGGCACATCAACCTCAATGGGTCATTTAATACCGACAACTTTTTTTTTTCTAGTAATATTTTTGCTTTGTCAAAAATCAATTTCTGTTAATATTTTTCTCAAAAATGTATAGCTGGCAACATTTTTTTCAAAAACGTATTGCTGGTAATAGTTTTTTTTTTAAAGAAAACGTATTGCTGGTAATTATTTTTTCTTCAAAAATTTATTTATGGTAGTAATTTTTTACAAAGTATTTCTGTTATTAAAACCTACTTTTACACTTTTATAATGCTTTTTACCTCAGTTTCGTGGTTAACTATTTGCCCATAGCTGGGACCCTACAGGTGCTAACACCCCGGGTCAGGGTGGATCTGGGAACACCAGCAATTAAGAGGTGGTTCCACGATCCTCAAAGCCTCCTTGCTGCTGGACGTAGTTTATCGTCTTACGCGAAAGTATTGAACAAAGACTACATTAAAACAAAAATAATATGAAATTTTAAAGAATCCATCTTAATAATTTGAAATAATTTCCGTTATTTTGATGGCTTATTTTATGCATTATTCTAAATTAAAGGAAGAAAGGCTTTTACAGTTTTCATTATCAGAGAACTAAGCTCGTAAAAACTAGCCTCAAATTAAGGATTGCGTTATCATCACCCTGTTTCCTGGGTCATGACAGTTGACCGCTCGTTTCAAAGGGTGGGGAAAGCAACACGCATACCGCATTCCACCTAAAGTTTCAGTGTTCTAGCCTGAAGGTTTTCTCGACACCCAAACTATTTATCAAGTGTTATGGGTGTGGGTTGAAAATGACAGGTGAAAAATGACACCGGGACTCGCACCCCCAGTCCTGCAATTCGGCTGCCCAGAGGTGAGTGGTCGCCTGATCCTGAATCAAGGAATGATTGCATTCTGAGTAACCAACTAGCCTTATCTGGAAACAACACTGCGTGTTTAGAGAGAGACCGATGTTCTTATATCTCAGCTATCGAGTATCTGAAGTGGGTGAAAAAACAAACTAAAGAAACAAAAGCCCAAATCTAGCAGTCAGAAGAAAAGTGTGCACACGCGTGTGTGTGTGTGTGTGTGTGTGTGTGTGTGTGCGCGCACGCGCGTATGTGTGCTCGATATATTTATAAATTTACACTTTTACATGCTCACTTAATGAATGACATATAAGCATGCTTTTCGGAGTCACTTTCACTCTTTATATAGCCCACTGTACAAATGACAATATATATATATATTGATACACACCTACACACACACTATATATATATATATATATATATATATATATATATATATATAGGTGCACTTAGTGCACCAGGTCTCTGAATTCGGCCCTTCAAAAAGTGTGGATGGTCCTGCACGAAACCTTCACTACTATAATCAAATCTCATGTGTTGTTGTTTGCTGTCGGTTTCCTAGGAACTGATCTGCTTGACCCTCATACGTCGTATTCGACGGGAGAGTCGAGTATATATATATATATATATATATATATATATATATATATATATATAATAAAGTAGTAGGGTAGATAAATGTTGTGGATTCCGAGATGAAATTCGGTCTCAAAATGAATGACAAACGCAGGAATGAAATATAACAAATAAATGTATTTACACAATAATACAATTGGTAATACGGTTATAGATCCAGAAACGTGGTTAGTAGCAATAATAATATATATACACAGTCTGGTAAATTAGAGTCTACGTGCTTGTAACTGTGACTTCTACAAGCGGTTGCCTCACACTATTACTCTATCTCCAACTCAATCACAATCTCTGCTCTGACTGACTCTGGGTATTTAAAGGCAGCAGTCCAAGTACACACTGGTCGAGTCCACGTATGAAAAAGGGGTGGATACCATAACATCCCCCTCCTTAGATCCCTTTTTGCGGGGAGTAAGTATTTTTGTCTTTTATGGTTGATAATCAGGAGTTCGACAAATTTTCTCTTCCTGTTTGATTTTACTCATTTTTGTGTCTTCCTGTGGTCTTTGGATCTCAAAAGCTTCGAAGATTGCATCCATAGAATCGTCGTTTTCTGCGGTTGTTCTCCAGGTTTAAATGATCTCTTGGGTACAATAGGTGTATACTGTTTTTTGTTCTTGTTTGGTCATAATTTGTCAAACACAGACCTTATTCTCCGAGCAAACATCAATTCCGCTGGTGAAAGACCCGATGGCGTGTTCACGTTAGGTGTTATTCTGTACACTTGGAGGAACTGTTGTATCGCTTTTATCGTCGGTACATCCTCGGCTTTTTTTAACGCTCTTTTTAGTGGGTCAACGAATCTTTCAGCTTGTCCGTTCGACCTCGGAGCTTGATATGTTTTACTTGATATGTCTCACAAAATTCTTTGAAGTCACTGGAGGTAAACTGTGTGCCGTTATCGCTTACCAAACAATCCGCGACGCCAAATCTCGTGAATAGTTCGTGTATGCAGTTTATGGTGTTTTCTGTCGTCGGGTGTTTAAATCTGCCAACCTCTGGCCATTTACTGAAACCATCTACTGTTATTAAATAATAGTAACCTCAATGGGTCCTGCGTAATCCACGTGTATTCTAGACCACGGTCTGTCGACTTTAAGCCATGGCCTTTGTATAGACACCATATATTGCTTCATATTTTACATATCAACCAACCTTCGTATATTATTTAATTCTTTACTAATTACATTTGAAGTAAGTAAATCTCTTGTTCTTTTAAGCCATTTTACATTTTACATTTATAGTTTTTTAATGACTGTTACTTTCTCTGTCTAAAAAAGAACAATGTTGAGTTTGTTTTGCTTGTTTTGTTTTACGGCATATCAACCTAAATGGGATATTTAATGCCTCAAGAATTTTATTGCTGGTAATACTTAACTCTCCCCTCGAGTTCGACGTATGAGGGTCAAGCAGATCAGTTCCAAGGAAACCGACAGCCAGACACCAGCACATGAGATTTGATTATAGTGGTGAAGGTTTCGTGCAGGACCATCCACACTTTTTGAAGGGCCGAATACAGAGACCTGATGCACTATGTGCCACAAGTTCCTCAAACGACCCTCCGAAGATTTTGAATTCAGAGTTGTCCTTCTTCCAGACCAATTGCCATCCAAGGCTATAGAACCCAGTCTGTCCTGGTATTTACCCATAGCTGGACGGAGAAGAAGAGGATTCCCACCTTTCCCAAGGTTATTAGCACGTAAGTGAATGTAATGGATTCAACTGGAATTTGAACTCGTCTCTCTGATTCCTCAACCCAAGCCGATATATATATATATATATATATATATATATATATATATATATATATATATATATATATATATATATATTGCAAAAAATATATTGCTGCTTTTTTTTTTTTCTAAAAATGTATTGCTGGTAATAATTTTTTTTTTCTTCAAAATTCATTGCTGATAATAATTTTTACAAAAATGCATTGCTGGTATTAAAACTCATTTTTACACTTTTATAGTGCTTTGACCCCAGTTTAGACCTTAAACATATTTGCCCATAGCTGGGACCCTAACTGGTTCTACCACCCCGAGTTAGGGTGAACCTGGGAACACTAGCAATTAAAAGATGGATCCACGTTCCTCAAAATACGAGCAAATTGAGATAGATAGATAGATAGATAGATAGATATGAGGGTTATCGTCTTACCCATGACACGGATGTAGTTTATCGTCTTACCCGGGACCTAACAATGTTGACATAAAAGTCGTATACATCCTGTATTTTCATATGCATCTTTGTGAGTGTGCGCTTAAGGGATGACTTGATTTTTGTGTACGTCTCTAATGAATATTGACACTGGAATTTCTTCACCTCCCTGCCGAGTCTAAATCTTATATCTAAAACACTTGCCAGTTTTCAGAATCTTTTTAGAAAAGCTATAATCTGTAACAGAATAAATTTCAACTAATGAATATTCCAAATCCCACTCACCGATAAATTGATCTGAGCCAACCTTTTAAAATATAACTTTGATTGTCCCCTAACTGGAGCAGATGTTTATGAAGTCGATGGCAACGTCTACGACTCCATCTTCATGCGTGATTTAAAGAAATTTAGTACTTGTGTGAAGTTTTGATTAAATGTGATGTTCGTCAGATTTTGGTACCAAAGATTAAAGGTTCGAGTGCTACTCTTCACAAGTGTATGATGGAATGTTTGCTACTTTATACGATAATGTGTTTTCGTATTTATACATCTACGTATAAAAACATATTGACTGAGAGTTCATTTGTGAAGACGTATTTTATAAGAAATTCTATCAGTAAAGTTAGGTAGATATGAACAGATAGATAGATAGATAGATAGATAGATATCAACGAACTGAGATAGATAGATAGATAGATAGATAGATAGATAGATAGATATCAACGAACTGAAATAGATTGTCATGAACATAGATAGATAGATAGATAGATAGATAGATAGATAGATAGATAGATGGTAACGCAGTGAATAAAGATTAGAGGCCGAGGAAGTTAGTTGTTCACACGTAGAATGATTCAAAGTACGAACTGACCGGGCAATAAGCAAAGTGTTCACAGATGACGACATTTTTTTTTCTTTTTTTGACATTGCCTCAAAAATAACAAATGCTACTGTTGTTTTATCTAAGGCGTTAGTTTGCTAATAAACCGAACATAAAGAAAACAAAATTCTAATACAGACCCCACTATTTCATGCTGTCATGTAATTGTTGATCTACACATCGTTGGTGTAATTGAGATATATACTTCTGTCCCTTATACATATGGAAGCATAAAGTCGAACACCATCCCCAACCTACACATGTATTTTAAACTTTTTTAAATCATTTCACCCCATGCAAGGCAGTAAAATCACTAAGACAGAAGGGGGTTACCGAGTGTGAAAGAATATGATAAATAGAAACATTATTAAGGAGGGAGAAGGGGAATCAAGAAGACGGTTAATAAAAAGTGAGAGTGTATTTAAATTTTTGAAGATAAAAGTTGAAAAGAAGAGTTTTAATAAAAGAATGATGGATTTTAATACAGGGTGTCCATAAAGTTGGTGTTCACTTTAAAAAATTATAACTTTATTTGTATTTGCGATCTGTAAAAATGTTATAATCCAGTGTTTCAACATGACGGAACTCCTTGTCACTTTGCGTGTTAGAAAATTTCTAAATCAGGAATTTCCTAAAAGATGGATTGGAAGAGGTGAACCATTTTATTGGCCTCCACTTTCGCCAGATTTGACTCCATTAGATTTTTATAGGGACATGTGAAAACAATTGAGTATGCAACCAAACCTAGTTCATTAGAAGATTTGAAAGCTAAAATAACTAATGTGATTTCAGGCATTACTGTAAATCAGTTGGCAAATGTTTTCCGTGAACTGCAAAATCGTATTACCCTTTGTATTGCTAATGATGGAGGACATGTAGAAACTTAAATAAAATTTCAATAAAACCTTAAAGAATATAGATTTCTTTCTTTCTAATCCTTTACGGGCACCCTGTATATGTTTATGTAGTAAATCACTTTAATGATTTATGTTTAACCATATAAAGCTTATCCTCGTTAAATAGATTATTCTCTGTTTTCCTCTGTCTCTTTTGCCTACGACATCTCATGTGCGTGTTAAATTATCCTAGCCCACTTTCCTCATTATGTATCCTAGAAATTTAAATTGTCTCTTTCTGATTTTCAGTATACGTGTCATTTTTGTTTTCATTTTCTCTAAAATTTTGTTGTTTCTCACGTGTTCAATCCATGGTATACTGCTGTAGAAACACATTTCTGTTGCCTCAAGTCTTTTCTTCATCTGTGATGAAATTCTCCAGTATCTAATGCCATGTTGGACAGCCGATATTACAAAGCATTTAAGTAATCCTTTGTTTCGAACCATATTTTCTAGTTTCTTAATAGATTGCTTAGCTTTTGGAAGGCATCTTTTGCTATTCAAATCCGACTTCGGATTTCGGTGTCACATTTTCCCTCCTCTGTTAAAACAATTCCTTGATATTTAAACTTTGGTAATTACTAGATTTTTGTCTCTCCATTTCGTAGTTGGTATCTTGGACTGTTTCTTTTGCTGACAGCCATACATTCTGTCTTCTTACCTGATTGATGATTAGTCCTTTCTTCTCGCTTTCCTTTATTACTTTTAGGAGGAGTGGCTGTAGTTTCTTTTCTGTGTCTGCTATCAACACTGAGTCATCTGCATTAAACTTTATAACATTTTTTTTACAGATTACTTCTATCGCAAATATAAATAAAGTTATAGAAGTGAGTCCCACAAGTGAGAAGTGAAAGAGAAGAAACAGCGTAGAACTTACGCTTGCATCCATCCAATTCAAATGTCACATGATGAGACCTAGCTGCCAGTCTAGTACTTCACTTAAATTCATAATTGGAGAGTTCATAGTGATTTTCCAAGCGCAGCTTAGATGCGGCACAAGACCGAAAGTAGGAGGCACCCAGTGAGAATCGAACTCACTACTCAGTCGTAATTGTTCTAATGAATGTTCCAACCTTTTAAAAATATACCTCTGATTGTCCCCTAAATAGAGCAGATGTTTTATTTTCGATACTTTCCAATAAATTGGCTTTTATTGAAGAAGTTGACGACAAAATCTACACCTCCAACTTCATTCGTGATTTAAGACATGTTAGTATTTGCGTGAAGTTTTGTGTTCGTTTTGATTGGTTGTGATGTTCGTCAGATTTTGGTACCAAGGACTAAAGATACGAGTGCTACTCTACAAAAGCTTGCTAACCATTACACCATCTCGAGGTGCCCTAACTGGAGAGTTCATAAGAACAATTATCATAAAAGTATTTATAGAAAAGGCAAAGACAATCTACACTGCGTGGCAAATTATTACCTAGATAACTTTTTTTATATTTCAAAAACCGTCCAACCAATTCACACAAAATTTTCACACAATGTTGGCAACACTGACCTGCGCAATCACTGAAATTTGATCTGCACAATGTAAACAAACTGGCGCCATATTTGTTATCAGCAAGGTGATTTTATTTATTTGCTTCTTTTGACCATAAACATTCACGTGCAGCATTAATAAACGTTTTGTGTGCTCAATTCTGGGATTTTTACTAAACCTTTCTAATAATTTGGCACGCTCAAATCACAGTGCTGATAACAAATATGGTGCCAGTTTGTTTACATTGCGCAGATCAGGTCAAAAATTTTAGTGATTGCGCAGGTCAGTGTTGCCAACATTGTGTGAAAATTTTGTGTGAATTGATTGGACAGTTTTTGAAATATTAGAAAAAGTTATCTTGATAATAATTTGGCACGCAGTGTATATTACGGCGATGGGAAAGTGTAGGAAGCTGAGATGCCAGGATTAATATTACTAATATTGCTGATTGTTCGTTGGATTTTATCAAGAAAGTCTAGTACTACTGGACATGGCAAACGAAAACTGGGAATATTCTTTACTTACGCAGCACTCCTTTAAAATTATATTTTACCCTGCACATGTGTTAAAAAGAAAACCCTAAAAACACATATTTTACATAAAGCTGTCCGTGGGGTCTGGATTTTGCTTGTGAGAACATTTTTTTCTGTTTACTTCAAGGCATAGGCTGCCAGGGATCCCTTTGAATGGGTCTATCAGAAGTTTACTATTTTATATTTATTATGGGGGAAGCATCACTCCAAAAAATGATACTTGAGTACAAATATATAAATGTCAATAATACCCATTATGCCACCCAGTCTGTTTAACGGGTATACTAACGACATGCCTCATAGTCAAATGTACACAGTATGGTAACAGATTTTGCAGGTGGGTCCGGGTTAAAAATACTTTATGTTCGGGTAACCCATTCTGCGCAGGGGGGTCACCGACTGAGGGTGTCCATAAGTATTTCGATAGGACTCCCAAGTCGTTTTGGCTGCCTCACGTTTCAAACTTAAAAAAAAACTAACTCTTCGATATCCTCCATGATGTTCTCCATCTACACCTGCTCATGAACAGAAATGATAAAAAAAGAATCAGACACCCAAGGGATATTCCCAACTGGTTAACGTCGGCAACTAAGGAGAAAATTTATTGTACTGAGCAGGATACATACTGTTGCCGATTGTAATTTAACAAGAGAAAATATGAACTTGGTAACACCAAAATCAATTAAGACCAGAAGCCATGATATGCATTCTTGTTGGAGCTGTTACAGTTTTTTGGGTAGCCTTTACTAGTCAGTCAAAATGAGCTGACTCATTTTATAGTTCACCAATAGAAGGGTTAACCAATCAGAAAGCTCAAAATATTCAATCCGGCGTGTATAATTGCAGCCATTTTGTTTTTTCTCTCAAAAATATCTTCACTTCCAGCCTGATATCGAAGACTTAAAGAATTAACAGCCGCTACTTTCTCCGAATCTACACTGCCAACCTCTGATATTGAAGAGATTAAGGACTTCACTGGATTCCATATTCAGAGACTACGGCTAACCCTAACCCTAACCCTAACCCTGCAGGAGCATCAGGACATTTGTCATTATTATTTTTACTGCAACTATTATTACTATTAGTGTTTTCATTATTTCTGTAATTTTCATTTTTCCGCCAAAATATCTGTCAGTTAACACTGAAAGCTGAGTGATAGCAAGTTACCTCAAATCATGAGGACCTTCCTCAGTATCTTTTTCATTTTAT